AGTTGTTTTTTTAACCTTGTCTGTGACTGTTAATTTTCCTCTTACTAGTGTGATTCATGTTTGGAGACGCACCATGAGCTGGAAAGCCTACTGTGTGTCTTCTCGAGCGCGGCTGGTCGCTCCGCCTGCCCTGTACTTCGCTCTTTTTAACAGGTGCCAGCCAACTCTGGCCCACCTCGTCGTTTTCCTGCATTTGTGAAATAATCCAAAAGTTGTTTGCTTTAATACAAGTTGTGTGTTTATTGTTATTTCTTCTTAAGCTTACGGTGTAAAAAAGTGCCCCATCAACTTTGTTTAATCTTTTTGATTTCAGTGTAAAAAAAGGACATTTATTTTTCAGTTCTCAAGACACGCATTTTCTCTTTTTGGTTTGTCACCAACACCCTTAAACTACACTAAAAAGGCGGGTGTAAGTATTTAATTGGAATGTTTTGAAGCATGGGTTTTACAAGTGAGAAAAGAACCTACATCAGCCAGGCATGATTCAGTAAAATGGTAAAATATCGCATCAAAACTTCAAAATGTCTGTCTTCATAACATAAGTAAATGGATTAGGTATTGATGAAACCAATAGGCTAATTTTAATTTTCAGTAAAAAATTGGTTAATTTAAATTAAAAATCCTCCCCTGATAGAGACTATTCTGCTCACTGGGTGTGCAAAAACACACCCATATATAAAATATAACCACTCCACAGTGCTGATGGAAGAGTATGCCACATTATACCGCATTGCCACACACAAAACCACAGAGAGCAGTTAACAAAGATTAAAGTTTTTTTATTAAATTGTTAAAATCAACACATCTCAACGTGTCCAAAATAAGTGTTCCAATAATTTCAGCAACAAAACATATTTAATAGTTCTGCTTTCTTTAAATATACATTCAATACATCTTAGTTTTTTTCTACAGAGGGAAGTCAACCCAATTTAAGTGTACCTGTGACTATGACCCATTAAAATTCCAGACGTCTTGTTGCACCACAAATATTTCTGCCTTGACAGGACATAATAGATTTTATGGAAAATACTGAGGGAGAACACATGTCCTTGAGGCATCTGTGACATGACTTTTGGTGGTGTTCAAAGGCACTACGGTTACGCATGTGTTACTTTAGCTATTTGGAACATTTCTACTATCTCTTATTACAGAGATTAACAGAAGCCACTGAGAGTTACTTGCTTGTTTGGGTCCTACTTTATAGCATAAATTTGGAGCGGTAAAGTGTTACAGCTTTCCTCTGATTCCTCTGGAATCAAAGCAAACAGAAAACAACTCGTACAACAAGATGAGATGTTGATTTTGAAAATAATGCACCAGAAGAATGATCTCCAGATGTTGCAGATGTCCAAGATCACATATATCTTCCTCTGATGAGCCGCCAACCGGAAAGACAACCACTTTCAGAAAACACCCACCACTGAGCATCTGACCTTCAGCCCTGCACTTTTCCAGGATGCAGACCGGAGTCTGTGCTGGCTTCTTGAACTTGTTGTCTTCTTCTTGAAGATGTCTAATGAAAGGAGTGCGTTTTCCCTCCATTTAAGAAGAGGCAGGTGAGCTGGGAGGAAAACGATCCTGCTTCAGGTCCTTTCTCGGATTTCTCTGGTTACCGGATTAATTTCTTCTCACATTGACCAAGCCTCTGGATCACGTGTTTCGGATATTGTGCCTGTGCCACCCTGCATTCCGCAGGGTTCACGGCAACGCATAAGGATCCTCCCATTCCACCTGTTGGTTCCCGACAGGGAGGAAGCGTGGGAGGCCAGAGCAGGATAAACCAAGAAGCACAAAGGACAAGACACACCACCTTCTTCCAGGATGCAAGGAAAGTTGAGGCTCCACAGCAAGAGGCCAGTGGGAATCACAAATTGGGAATCCCGAATAATTAACCCACACTGCAAACAGAGAACACAGTGTACATGAAGGCATCCAGAACCTTCTCCCACAAGCTTGTCAGTGCATATCCTCAGCCCCATCTCGCTCCATCTCAACAGGAGGTCTTCTCCCTTGTTTCTTCCTCGTCCCTGTCTTTGTCTTTCTTGGGTTCTGGCTCCTTACTCCTTCGGTTCAGCAATGGCCCGTTCTGCTGTTCTTCAGGAAATGCGTCCAGGGCGATCCAGTCCTGTAAGTGCTACAAGGGCTGGGCACCAAACAAGGCCCCAGAAAAAAATCCTCCACTTTCAAAAAGAACGGCTGCCTAGAAAATGTTCCGCAAACCTGTTCTTAACTGCGTTGAGAAATAAACAAAAACAAAATAAATAATAATAAATAAAACTTTGGCCCTATTATTTTAAGGGAACATTAAGTGCATTTAAAAAAGTACAACCAGTTTTCTTACAGTTTAAAAAAGAAGCCAGAGGAAATGCTACAGATGCTTACAGCCAGCTGTTAGGTACTCATTTCCAGTAGTGGTTTCACTAAAACCCTGGAACTGAAGGGCAGAGGATGGGGCTGACCTGTCAAACAGTGCCTGCAGCTCCCAGGACCTTAAAACACAAATAGAGTTAAATGTGATCGACTTCCCCTCATATACTCTCTGTAAACGTTTAGTACAAGAGGTGAGGAACAGCAGGAAGAAAGTGACGTTGAACCCAAGGGCTCAGAGCAGCAGTTCCCAGCCTCTTCGAGAGCGCGGAGCACCTCTAGGATGAGCTGGTTTTACACTTCACTACACACAGTACTGAAACTCAGCACTCAGCAACACTTGTGCCCACTTTAATTTACACAAAGTTCTTAACGATTACCTCCTAAAATGTATTTGTGAAGCCCAGCCGTGCCATGTAGAGAATGTGTGTGCTGAGTAACGAGCTGTAGGAGCA